CCACAGGCAAGCACTGCAGCTATATAAGTGGATGCACAGTGCGTATCGATCAGTTCGAGTTCGAGTTCCAGTGTGGCTACCGCCGAAGACATTCCGAGTTATAAAGTAACAGCCAGCCGACTACAAGTTGGAGTATAGCAGCCGTCGCGGAAAGAAGATCCGGACGTGTGTGTAATTGTGTAATTGGGAGCGTGTGATACAGTGATACCTAGCTCCCCGACTGTAAACGTGTAGCCTACTGAAGGCAGACTGAACTGATTTGCGCATAGGGTTATAAAGTGTGAAACCCCGCAACAGTGGCGACAGATTAATGCGCTTAGGGTTATAAAGTGTGAAACCCCGCAACTGTGAGATAAGTAATTGTAGCTGTTATTTGTAGATCGTTAAATAAACCAATTAACCATCTCTACGGCGTCTTCAGTAACGCAAGACATGTTACTATATTATTAGGGGAAGCTTATTAGAATGGAAGAAATACTGTGTGGAGCTAAATCATTCTTGAGAAGCCAGTAGTTTCTGAACCATTCAAGAAACCTCCAGTATTTTATGGATGCAAAAGTTCATTACTGTGTTTACAAGAACCCATAGCTGGTTGCTAGCCACCAGACAGATCCATTCCACATGTTACCCTCCTATTTCTTTTGAATATATTTTAATATTTTCCTCCTATTTATGCCAGGTCTTCTCATCTCACCATCTCAATTCAGTGCTGTAAATGAGAACATAAAACATTTCTGAACATTTTATGGGAATACAAACACCAGGGGCACTGATACCTATTGTAGTGAACAGTTTGCAGCTGCAGTCAAAGTGATAAATGGTAACAGACAATGCATAGTAAAGTTAGCTGACAGTTCCTTCTCCATTCTGATTATTGCTCAGAGCTTCTGCTTACCTTTCAAGCACCTGTCTTTTGTCTGCAACCTCCATTGTCTTCTTCTCCCTCCGCTTTGTAAAGGCAGCTACTCTGGAATTGACCTGGCTTCCCAAAGCTCCAACATTCTCATTGTCTTTGGTCCTTTATCCTGGTTTGGGTGAGTGAAGCTCTCCCAGAATGACCCACTAGTTTTTTGGGACCTGGCTGCTAGAAATACAGCCTGCAGCTTTAGGGCCTGCCTGAGAGCCTTGTTCACTATTTTCTCTCCTCCCAGATGCAGATGGATTTTTATGTTAGGTTCTTCTACCATGTCAATGAATGCCTTGCCTGCCTCCCTCCTCACATGGTTCTCATGTAGTACAGGGTAGGTGCAATGGGCCATCTCTTCAATGGGGGAATGTTCTTGATAGGATTCTCTAGCACATTGGGTCCTCATTTCCAGCTATCTGTGATAGGCGGTGGCCAGGTGCTGGTCCCCAAGGTGTTCCTGCAGGGTCTCAAGACTTTCCTCATACTGCTGCTCCTTTTGGGACTCTGTGTAGCATGTCAGAGGCCAGGCTCTGCAAGACAGTGATCAAGTATGTGGCTCCTGAGGCATCCAGCAGTTGTGTTCTGCTATGTTCCCCAACTGGCATCAGAACACAGCCCATGATGTGGATGTGTAGAACTTAGGAGGCTTTGCCACACCTATTCCTGTCCTCTGGTATATTCCACACTTGATCCTGGCATTGACTTCTGTGAGCCACGTTTTGAACTGATCACCTTAATAGACTTTAAAGGATTCTGACGATGGTGTATGCTGTACAGAACTATAAGGTTTATTTTGGACTCTATCCATCGTCCATAGGTCCAGTGATTCAGACTAGCTCTTTCTAATGGGCCCAACTGAGTAGTTCTATCTTGTCCCATCCACCTGAGGACAGAGACAGATCCAGTCTCCGAAACATTGTGGTTTTTTGTCTTACCAGATGATGGATAGAATCCAAAATAAACGTTATAGTTCTGTTCATCACCTTAAGTTTTTCAAAGCTGTGACCCTGTTTGAGACTTTAACTTTATACTTTTCTGTCCCTTCTACCTCATTTAGCTTCGTGAGATCAAATCTCTGTATATGATATTTGCATTTCTCATTTTCTTACTGACAGTCTTTCCCTAACCTTTGCAACCACCAGATAGTGGTCAGTATCACAGTCAGATTAAGCAATAAAGTAAAGTAAAAAAAGTAAAGGTATCCCTGTAACAGGCCATGGAGGCCCCTAGGGTTGTGAGATGTTGAGGTTCCCACATTTTCTAGAAAATCATCTCATAGATGGCAGCAAGGTTGTCAGACCTAAGTTCCGGCCACCCTTTACCCCCAAGAATATTCCTGGTACTCATTTCTGTTAGAGGCTGAGTTGACCCCAGGGCCATAGTGTGGCTGGAAGGGTTAGTTGAAAAAAATCCAGTGACCTCATCAGGACTTGAACCCACGACTTTCCGGCTTGAGCATAGTGCCTCAACCAACTACCCTACCGCGTGCCCCCCAAATGAAGCTATATATATATATTGTCGCGCGTCGGGCATATATCGCGACAAATAAGTTCACGCCGTATTTTATATAGCGAATTTTATTTCACATTCGCCCATACAATCACCCAAATTACAGATTTACGATTACTGCTATCTGCAGTATCACAATTAGTACACTCCAAATGCCACAATACAACTGACTGGCTGACTTAGTACAACTCGACTCGGCGACTGTTACAGTACAACTGACTGGTTGCTGGCTAACTCGGAACTAACTCGGAGGTAGCTCGAGGACTGACTCGTAGGTAGCTCCAGGACTGACTCGTAGGTAGCTCCAGGACTCACTGACTGACTCAGCACAACTGACTGTGAATAGCCTTCGCTGCGCCTCATGTAGCCTCGATCGGACCATACGGAAAACGGCCGCGTAATAGGCACCCT